ATCTCATTAAAAGAAGTGATTGTTACCCTGTCTTCTACCATACAAGTGTTTCTATGCTGGATACGTAGCCATCATGGTACCCAAGGCAACGAAAGAGCCTACTCCACAGCTAAAGAAGCCACAAGTCACCCTTCCATTGACTCAGAGGTCCCATTCTCCATAGTCACTGCCAAACACAAGATCTTCTGCGCCTTCATGTTCATCTGGCAAGCTCACTGGAATGACTCAGACACCGGCCGACACACCTACTCCATTTTTCCCGTGGTCTTCACCAAGAAGTTCAAAACAGACTTCTATCTACTACAAGCTTTCACAAATCATGGAAGAATTTCCACATACCTCAGCAGGTTTTACCATCAAAACTTTAAATGCACCTGTGGTGCTTCAGCTTCTTCAGCAGACGTCTCACATTACATCCACGACTGTCCACTCATTTCTCTCATCAAAGCCTCCCTTCCTTAGTTCCAGGGATCACATAGCCTCAAAGACCTTCTTCAGGATTACTACGGACAGCGAGGTGTCAGAACCATCATAGATTATGTCTATTCTAAGAGAGACATGATCAGATAACCAGGTCTAGGAACCTGATGAAATGTAAAGGCACCAAGCCCCCATTCACGTATATATGTAAATATCTCTAAACTAACTAACCCTTTTTGCTAATTTTATACTACCCAAAACATACCCAAAATATTGAAAGTTGGAGCACCCAACAAAAGTACAACAAACATACTAACTCTTTCACACCATTTCAAGTCTTCATTAGTAACTACATAACTAGAAACAAATTGCATTAAGACAACAATTTTTCATTCATCAATGAAGGATTTAATCAAATGCTGTAAGACAATTATAACGCTGAACAGGAACATGCAAAAATGAAATGGATTGAACCCTTGTCTGACATGTTTATTTCATCTGCATTAAATTATACCTACAAGCTGTTGATTTATCATTAAAGTATTAGCTATTGTTTTGATGGTATGAATTACTGTGTAGCCAAAATTACAATAACATTTAAATCCTTTCTCCTTCTCTCATTAAGGCCCACCAGCAGCCGAGCAGTAAAGTCGCTGAACACTGGTAGTTCGGTCCGAGGTTTGAATCTGGCGAACGGGCTGGCTGTATGGATGTTTTCGTGGTTTTCCCCATGTGTAATGTGTATACGAGCCAGTTTCCTTTAGAAAGTCCTCCACGAAGGCATCCCTCCCCTTAGGCAGATAGCCCTCGAGGCTTTGCCATAATTAAATAACCTAACCTAACCTAACCTTCTCTCATTAAATTTGATGGCACTAATTATAAAAACTGCTAGAGATTCCTGATACTTCTGTTAGTATTCTTATAAGACTTTGTTTCTAATAGCTGAATGGTTATGACAGTGGTTTATAGGTAGTTTGATGTGGTTTGGTTCTCAATGAAAGGACTGGCTGCATGTGGTTTTAGTCACTCTATCCAGCAAGGATATGGATGCAGGCCAGTTTTTCCTAAAAATTCTCTACCAAAACAAAGAGAAGTCTCATTGTTTTTTTTCCATACTTTTTTAATTTTTAGTTATAAGTATAAAGAATTAGGTATTTATGTACATTTTTTTTTGGTCATGAAAACTAGTGGAGATCCTCCTACCCCAATGCATATGGTTTTGCAGAAGGCAAGTCTTAATCCTCCCCAAAAAATGTGCGAAAAGAACAGATAGATAGCAGTTTACTAATTTCTTTGCTTATGAAAATTAAACTGGCCCATGGAGGATTACCTAGGGTTATAAAACCATTGCAAAGATCTCAAAAGGGGGTTGTGACAGCTTACCAATCTGTTGCTGGGCTAAATCACATTGTTGTGTGCTAATTTTTTTTTCCCCTGTCAAAAACAGTGGACAGAAAAATGTGCAAGTGCCATGATTTACAATAATTTTTAAATATCATTTTTTGATGATATAAGTTATCGATTTAATTGCAGTTTGCAAAAATTACTGAATACCGGAGCTTATTTTTCCAAACAGTTCCTAACTGTTATTCAAGCTTTCATAAATTTGAGTTTGTTTTAACTACATCTGAAATAGATTTCTTATTTGTTTCAATTTTACATAAACTTCAATGCATCTAAAATAAGTAAATGAAAGTAAAATAAAACTATTATATATCTGTGGCTAAATGTCTTTCATTTATCAACCAAACCATAGCAGCACATTAACTTATCAAAGTGAGACTTTAAAATAAATGCACACTTCATATATTTTTAGATGTTTTTATTGATGTTAATGCCACTGGTGTAATTAAGATAGACGTTTCTAATGCCATGTGTTATGTATCTCCACGGCAGAATTTCTGCTTAATTCTTTTATTCATTTCATACCTTAAAAGTAAAATCTAATGATAATAGTAAAATGCCGTAGCAATGCAAATGGTAGCAGTAGTAATGACCACACAAATGAGGCCTTGTGAAAACCATGTACCTTATACATCATATGTGCTTTAGATTCAAAAAATGTATAATAAATCAATATGTAATAATAACTGTTGTGGATGCTACATCTTTGTAAAAGAAATAAACGAGTGTTAATTGGCACTAATGACAGTAATTTGGTATTTTAAAGATAATAATTGCAGTTAATAAATCACTGTAATCTGTGAAATGAATCCTTTTTTAATGATGTGGTTCATTAAAACTTTTAAGAATGCATGACATCATAAACTTTCTAGTGAAGAAAAAGAAGAAATTGCTATTGTATTTTAACTTTTGAGGGGAAAGCTTATTTAGTTCATTAAAAAAAAATCCACTATTCATGTTGGAAACAAAGCTATTCTAGCCTTTTTCATTTGTTTCATCTCATCACATAATGCTACTGAACTACCATCCACTTATTTATTTACAGTTGCATTTAACTATTAATAATTATTTATGTTCTATTTTTTACCTATTTTAATTAATTTTAACATACATTTAGACATTTTTATGTTACTGAAGACCTTAATTTGTAAATAAATATCTCTATTTATTCGAGTAATATTTATTCTTATGTCATGTGTATATCCTAGTACTTATTTGATATTATAATTTTCATTGCCAGAGATAAGTGAAATTTAGAATAAGAATTTGTCTGTTACCTGTCATTTTTTTCATCGTATGGGGCCATCTATATTGGATGATGTTGCTCTGATTTAAAGAAAAAAAAAAGTGGGGGTGAATTTTTAGTTTTTGAAAGACTGTTAAAACATCAAATGAATACTACTTTTTATTCTGTTAATGTTATTTGTGACAAAATGATTTCAAAACTTTCCCGTGGAAATAAAGTATGCAAAGTTAATATACAAAATACTTAAAATATTCTCTGTTTATGCTTGCATAATCAAGAAAATTTGGTAGGAAAAATATACATCTACAGTATATTATCTTATACATTTTGATAATAAGCTGAAATAGCTTTTACTGTTTTTAAAAACAAACAAATTTTGTCATGTTAGCATAGCATGCTACAAGATAATCTGGTGCAAATATTTAATTATGCAAAGCTCGCTCTTACTTTAAGAACTTTTTTCATGGTGGATTATCTAAAGGAAACTGCCTCACACTTGGTTAGAAGTGCAAAAAACATGAAAACCTCACACAGTCACTGCATTCAGTGATCAAGAAGAGAGACTGAGGCAGATTATAATGTTTTATTATTTTAGCTTCTCAGTATTAATAGGTATCTGTAAGAAATATGCTATCTATTGCTTTTAGATGTTAACATTATTTGAAAATTCTTTTGCATATTCGTTTCTTCTATTCATCAGAAGAAAGATTTTTTCTTAAAAGGGTAAAAAGCAGATGTAACTATATCTAGATAGATGAATATCTTAAAACCTGGAGAATTTTATTGTCACCCAGCTGCATCTGTCTCTGCTCTCAAAGTCTGAACAATACAAAAGTAAAATTTTGATAAAATGTTCATGCATAAATGAACTGTGCTATTCATTCAGCTTTCATGCCTGTTGCACAATTATAGCCATTTTTCATAATGCAGTAGTATAAGTCTTTAATCCGGACTTGTCGGAACTTCGGCGATTCCGGACTAGGGGTTTTTCCGGATTATAGATCTTCAATTTAAATCTGGTAAGATGGCATGCAGAAATTATAAAATTAAAAATATGAAACCGTAATTTATGAAATAAAGAGAAATTATGATCTAAAGAGTATCAAAATTACAAAAAAAAGCTTAATATTTATTTGCTTACTTTATTAAACATTTCTTTCAATGTAAGTTGTTAAAGTTGCTTCGTTTTATGTGCTAATACTTTATCTTTAATTCTATAAATAGACATACTTTCTTGTTCAGTTACAAAGTTTCGCTGTTCAAGTCCTGTAATTGCTGTGCTGAGAATACCGACTAACTTGTCAATCGAAATTTTTTCGTTTTTACTAACCTCTCTGTCACTTTCTTCATGCCTTTATCCGTTTTTTGCAGCAGTTCCACTTTTTGTTTGATGGACATAGAAACATGCTTTCGCTTTGTAGATCCTTTGGCAGCTCCAGAATCGGAAACTCTTTTTGACATAATCGAAAGTTCAAGCTTACTTTTTATAAAATTGCTCTAACAGTCTTCAAAAAATAATAAGCCGGATCCAATTAGAAGATTAAGGAACAACGCAATCTGCAACATTAATTGAAATAGATAATTAGGTAATTTTAGCCTAGCTTATACTGTCTGTTATATATTAAACGCACATGCGTAAAGGTATTATGCCCATGTGTCATATGCAGAAAGTTTGTAGCTTTGAGGTCCGTATTATAGATCATTCTGGATTATGGATGTCTGGATTAAAGACTTTGTACTGTATATTGTTTTTTAAGAACTAGGTTAAATGTTTAGAAATATGGGGCAAAGGGTATGTATATATGGATTACTAATTGTGGCCACTGTGATAGTACTTTTATATTGCTTTATGTTTTTTCCTTGAGTACACTAAGTTAATTACTTTCTGTTTCAGTAAGTTAATTATGATGCTAGTGCATGTTTTCATAGAAAATTTTACCTTTAGGTTAAAGCGTACCAACAACATTTAACATTTGATGATATTTCCTCACTACATGAATGGGCGGTTTCTGGTTTCAAAAATTCATCAGTCTCCCGCAGCATGAAAAAGTATGATATTAATGGTAAGAAGCATGATTTTTTTTAATAATATATATGTTTACTTGAATTTTTATGTAGGGGGAAAAATTGTGGTTCTTTCTTTTATCACAGGACTTCCAGAGGTTGTTATTAATGCCTTAGAGAGCTTACAGTCAAAAAATATCAGTCAAGATGACAGTGATGATGAAGAAAGTATGTTGTTTGAATTTTTAATAACTCAGAATCATTAGTAAATTCTAAATTCGTGTATTTGTCTAATTTTCTTCATTTTAACACTTGCTTAGTTTTTTTAATAAAAATTATGGGTGATAGATACATGTGTCTTGAGGTCTTCCAGAAAATGGCTTCTACAGTCAAAAGTCGTTAATCCGGACACCCATAATCCGGAATAATCTATAATCCGCACCTCAAAGCTACAAACTTTCTTCGCATGCGCATAGGCGTTTATGCATGTGTGTAATACTTTTACAAATGAGCATAATTCTTTTATGCATATGCATAATGCGTTTACGCATGCGCGTTTAATGTATAACGGATGGTATAAGCTAAGCTAAAATTATCTAATTATCTATTTCAGTTAATGTTGCGGATTGCGTTGTTTCTTAATCTTCGAACTGGATCCGGCTTATTATTTTTTGCAGACTGTTAGAGCAATTTTAATAAAAGTAAGCTTGAACTTTCGAATTTGTCAAATAGAATATCTGATGCCGGAGCTGCCAAAGGATCTATAAAGCGAAAGTATGTTTCGATGTCCATCAAACAAAAAGTGGAATTGTTGCAAAAAATGGCTAAAGGCATATCCTTTGTTTCTCTAACCATTCCGAAATCTGTTTATCAATTTCACGCTGCTCTGCGGGAAAGGGGGGGAACGTCTCAGCGCGCAATGAACTGGAAGTTGATCTATCAGCACTATCCTTATCTTCAGGGCAGATGTTTTTATTTTATTCAGCTTATAATTCCTTACTAAATGTAGTATTTCGTGTCGATGTATTTCATCTTTGATATGATTTAAATCAAATTCCTCGTCATTATAAATATCACGAGTACACCTCAAATAGTTTTCTGGTTGCAATTTTCTAATTTCGACTATGCGTAATGTATGCTTTACGCATGGGCGCGTTGAAAGAAATGTTTAATGAAGTAAACAAATAAATATTAAGCTTTTTTTTTGTAAATTTTGATACCCTTTAGATCATATTTGCTCTTTATTTCATAAGTTACGGTTTCATATTTTTAATTTTATAATTTCTGCATGCCATCTTACCAGATTTAAACTGATGATCTATAATCTGGAATTGTCAAAGTCCCGATGAGTCCGGATTAAAGACTTTTGACTGTATAAGCATATCATTTCTATTAGCTGTCAACTATTCAGTGTCCTGTCATATTTTCTAAAGTTATGCAGGTTATTGTGATCTATGTATGTACAATGCTGTTGAAAAAAGGGAGAAAAATGCTTTAGAATAATGTAATAATGAAATCAAAGTAATTGAAATTAATAACAATGAATTGATAGTATAAACAAATATATAATAAGTGAGGATTTCATGAACAACGTGAAGATTTCATAATCAGATAAAATAATAAAAGAATTCTTTACTTAAGGACTGCAGTTGTATCAATTTAAAATTTCTCTAAACTATTCTTTGATCTGCAAAAACTAAGCACCAACTATTTTGTGATTTGTAGGTTAACATAAGCTTTATAGTTCAAACTAAATTATGTACAACAGATCAGAATATCCTGAAACCTGAAGATCAGCTAACAAAACTGATGATGGTTGTATCATAACCCAAAATATATTTTCATTTCTTTTCTTTATTTTTATGTAAAGACATTTAAGAAAAATAATGCATATATATTAATGGCATTAGGAAAATTTTATGTTGTTATGCACTAAGCTTACAAAACGAAGGAAATTAACCTGACAGTGACGTACAGTACGAAGTCCGAGATCTGAACATCCAATATCCGGAATGATCTAAAATCTGGATCTCAAAACCTCCAGCAACTTTTTTGTTAAATGCTCTTATGCAAGTGCATTTTATTTTTTCCTCCAATAGATAAAACATATAGAGAATCCCGATTCTTAGTTTCCGTTCTGCACTATAATACAAATACTTCGGCAAAGAAATACCTCGCTATTGATGAAACAATAATTTAGCATTAACATGCATGATCAATAATTTGGCTGCGTAGCTATATGCTTGGCATACATCTCAAACCGAAACATTCTACATAGCAATGTCGTTGATTTTACATGTACTTATTTTATATCCCTGACACCAACCTGGCGAATCATTATTTATTATATTTTGCTTTCATTACCGCATGCTTATCAACACATGACAACTTGAGTAATGACTCATGCAGTGATGCATAAAAATTTTTTTAATAATAGTACAAAGGGAGTACAGTAACCTTTTATGTTGACATTATTACACTTGGCAATGATTACAGATTTAAGTTAAATACGCTAAGAAATACTGACAAGGAAAAATTTAACAAAAATTTCTTTTCATATGCTAAAAATTGATTTTGTTAATGATACTCATAGGCCAAAAGATTACATTTAGTGCAATTTGCATTAAGAATAACTTATTTGTTTTTCACATAAACCCAGAACTAGCGCCAGAGCTCGTATGGCTGCACCGGGTGGTAGAATTTTAGGAAGACAAGATTTTTGGAACTTAGAGAAGCGACGAGCGACAGAATTAAAGGATGAAAATAATTTTATAATTTAGAGAAAACACTGGGATCCAAAATTTATGGGTGGCAAAAATTTAGAAATTAGAGAGTTGCTTGGTAGCAGAATTTAGGACATGCAGAGACTGCGTCAGGCGGTAAGATATCTAGCGCCAACCCTCGATAAATGTGGGAATTTATTTATTCAGGATGCTCAGTGTGGGAATTTATTTATTCAGGAGTCAGATTTGCATTAATCACGTGCAAGAAATAAACGTAAGTATAGTAAATAACTAAACTAATATAATCAGGCTTAATTGTCTCAGTGCACGATAGAAGCAAGACAAACTTTAGCGGAACTTGTCTTTCGTCATCAATTTCATGATACATAGCCAATGATGTACAGCAGATGCTATTAAGCTTGGCTAAAACTATACTTTACTGATTCCAAGGAATTTCAGCCAATATAGCAGCTTGTGCTGTTCCTTAACTCTTTGATTTAACCTAGCTTAATTATTTTTACAGGCTGTTCCTTAACTCTTTGATTTAACCAAGCTTAATTATTTTTACAGGCTGCTTTTATTACAGCAATTTGATGAAAATTAAAATTTCAACTTTCGATCATGTTAAACAGAGTTTCTAATTCTGGAGCTGCAATAGGATCTACAAAGTGAAAGCAAGTTTCGATGTCCGTTAAACAGAAAGTGGAATTGCTGCAAAAAAATGGATAAAGGTATATCCGTCTCAAAATTATGCGAGGAGTATGGCATTGGAGAGTCGACTGTAAACGACATAAGAAAACAGAAAAAGGAACATTTTGAATTTTTTGTGAATTCCAACACCCCCAATCACAACAAATAAAAGAAAAATTGTTATGCTAAAAGTGAAGACCATGACAAAGTGATTATTGAGTGGGTCAGAAGCATTGCATCGAGGGCATGCCGTTGACGGGTCACATGCGAATGGCGCAAGCTAAAATATTTCACTAAGAAATGAACTTAAAAACTGAGTGCACATTAGTTAACCAAATTTAAAAATTGCCATGGTATAAGGCAGTTAAAAATTTCAAGGAAAAATGCTTCAGCTAATATTGAAGCTGCTGAACTATTTGCAGATGGATTCATTGAACTAGTAGTAGTTCAATGAATTAGAACTAGATCATTAGTAGTTAATCTCTAGAACCAATTTACAATGCTGACGGAACTGGTCTTTTCTGGCAATATGTACTGCAAAATACATCGGCAACCTCTATAGAAAGGCTCCAACTCGTGTCAAAGATTCCAAAGCGGGACTAGAAATTTTAGTGTGCACAATGCCGGCAGGAATGCACAAGTATAAACCTTTTATAATTGGAAAATATACAGAACCTTGAGGATTTAAAGGAGTAAAATGTTTCCTGTTATGTATCATGCAAATAAAAGGACATGGTTGACACTAGTGTTAATGAATGATTGGTTTGAAATTCATTTCAGATCTGATGCTCAGCAGAATTTGGTTGATTTACCTGACAACGCAAAAATTGCCCTGGTTGTAGACAACTGTTCGGCTCATACTTTAGTTAATACTTAAAGTTTTAGTGAAAGATGATACATCCATATTATTCTTTCCTCCAAACTCTATGTCAGTCATTCAGCCTATGGATATCGGAACAGTGTGCACACTGAAATGCAAATATAAAGTAAAATTTTTAAAACCCATGTTAAATTTCTTGAATAATGGCCAGACTGTTTGAGAAATTTTTTAATATTTTAGCGCAAAATCTGCTTTTAGAGCATCGCAAGATCGTGCGAGGATGTGTCTTCAGATACTTTAAAAAATGCTTGGCATAATTTATGGTCAGCCAGCATATTTCATGGTGAGGTTGATGAATATGATAGCTGCAAATGTGAAGGCTTTCGAATATTGCAAACCAAAGGTTAAATTTTTCTAATTGAGGGATTTTTTAAAGAAATATGGAGAAGCGGTAATAAACGAAGATGGTATAACAGAAGTATTTCATTGCGATGACAATGCCCCAATTATCAATCAATAAACGAATGGCGAAATGTGTAGTATGGTTTTAGATCCAGAAAATATAGTTACCGATAGTGAAGAAAGTGACAGAGAGGTTATGGAAAATGAAAAAATTTCGATTGACAAGTTATTGGAAATTCTCAACACAGCAATTACAGGACTTGAACACTGGAACTTTGTAACTGAATAAGAAATAATGTCTGTCTACAGAATTAAAGAGAAAATATTAGCATAAAAAAAAGCAACTTAAACAACTTACATGGAAAGAAATGTTTAATAAGGTTACAAATAATTATTAAGTTTTTTTTTTTTTTTTTTTTTTTTTTTAAATTTTGTTAGCATTCTGTTCATTAATGGCTTATTAAGTTATAAATCACGATTTCATACTTTTAATTTTATAATTTCTGCATGTCATCCTACAAGCTTTAAACTGATGATCTAATATCTGGAAAAATCCCAAATCTGGAATTGCTGAAGTCCCGACGAGTCCAGATCTCGGACTTTGTACTCTATTAAAGACAATGAGAACAGTGTTTAGTATTATGTAGAATCAAAATGTAAAGTAAATAAGACTCGCCTATAAAAAAGGAAAGGGAGGAGAAAAGATCTGAGTTTTTGAATCACAAAAGGAATTAATAATCAGTCAATTCCTGGTGTTGACGTGTTTTTTCATATAATTTCATGATAATTTTAATCTAAATATTTTAGAGAGTAACTTTTGAAATGTGTTTAAAGTGATGGGAATGTTTTTAAATCTTTTTTTTTTTTTTTTTTTTTGCAAATATAGTTATATTGATGGAATAACAAATGTAAACCTGAAATCAGTTCCAGCAAATAGAGAACATGTTATGTATGTTGTTATATTTTCTATGTATTGCCAATAGCACTGATATGCTATAGTGTTGTTATGAATTAATCTGACAGAATGCATTTTAAAATTTTTCAGATCCTATTTACGAAGTTCAAAGAGGTTTAAGGAAGCTATATGGTAAATAATTAAATTTAAACTAATAATAAATCATAAATAAAATTCACTCTTTTTAAAGCTAGTAGGTTTTAATACTCTCTACTGAAGTTGGAAAGAGAAAAAAAAATTAGTTTCTTCTATGTCAGTCAGTAAATGAAAGTTACTTATCCATCATTAAAAAAAGTCATTATGTTATTGATATTTATTTTATTTCTTTTCATATGTATAAAAACAGTTATTTTAAATATTTTTTAAAAATACATCAGACTTAAATATTGATTTTAACTCGTTTCTTTTTAAATGTTAATTAAAGAACTAAAAAATTTATAAAATATAAAAAAATGGAAGTGAATTCTATTTTTTTTAAACATTTATTAATTTTATAACTCACACACAAGGCTGAGACAAGTATGGCTGTCACAGGCACATAAACAGGAAAGATGCCAAATTGTCTACGAAAATTAAGAAAATAATAAATGTATGTTGGTATTTGGAACTTTTGCAGTTGTCAGGGAGATGAACTGAAAGAGAATACCTTTCTCAAAAATTAAATAAAATTAGTAACATTTTCAACTTTGAAGTTTCAGCAAACATTTTTGAAGAACTTTCTATTTAGTGTGGGAAGCATGTGATTTGAACATGATATGAATATAAGCAATAAAAGAATGGGATAACTGAAACATGATAAATAAACAAACATTTTTGTTAACTGAAGCACTGATGAGATATATGTATGCCAGAATAATACTTATTATAGTAATAAATCTTAAGTACAATAGAACTCTAATTATCCGAATCCATTGGGACTAGACCCCATTCAGATAATAAAAAATTTTAATACAGTCAAAAGTCGTTAATTCGGACACCCATAATCCGGAATGACGTATATTCCGGACCTCAAAGCTACAAAAGTTCTGCGCATGCGTCAGACCTTAACGGCTGCGAATATGCTTGTGCGCGTGCACAAAATATGTTACGAGTGCACGTTTAATGTATAACGGACAGTATAAGCTAAGCTAAAATGATCTAATTATCTATTTCAGTTAATGTTGCAGATTGCATTGTTCCTTAATCTTCGAATTGGATACGGCTTATTGTTTTTTGCAGACTGTTAGAGCAATTTTATAAAAGTAAGCTTAAACTTTCGATTATGTCAATTAGAATTTCTGATATATATTTATTAATATGTAAAGGATCTACAAAGCAAAAGTATATTTCAAAGTTCATTAAGCAAAAAGTGGAATTGCTGCAAAAAATGGATAAAGGTATCCTTTGTTTATCTAAACTTTAACATTTGTTTATCTAAATTTTAACATTTGTTTATCTAAACTTTGTTTATCTTTAACGCCGCAGCGGGCGTGAAGTGAATTGGAAGTTGATCTGTCAGCACTATCCTTATCTTCAGGGCAGATGTTTTTATTTTATTTGGCTTATAATTCCTTACTAAATGTAGTATTTCATCTCGATGTACTCCGTCTTTGATATGATTTAAATCAAATTCCTCATCATTATAATTCGCTTCCGATAGCGAAGTAAGTGACAGAGGTTATTGAAAACGAAAAATTTCAATTGACAAATTAGTCGGTAGACACAGCAATTATAGGACTTGAACAGCGGAACTTTGTAACTGAACAAGAAATTATGTCTGTTTATAGAATTAAAGAGAATGTATTATCACATAAAAAATGAAGCAACTTAAACAACTTACATTGAAAGAAATGTTTAATAAAGTAAACAAATAAATATTAAGTTTTTTTTTTTTGTAAATTTTGATACCCTTTAGATCATAATTGTTCTTTATTTCATAAATTATGGTTTCATATTTTTAATTTTATAATTTTTGCATGCCATCTGACCAGATTAAAACTGATGATCTATAATCCGGAATCCCCGAAGTCCCGACGAGTCCGGATTAACGACTTTTGACTGTATTTGGATTTTTCCAAAGAAAGTGTCGGTTGCACTTAGAAACGGTGTAACACCAAGGTGCCTGGGTTAAGAACCCTACTCCTTGTAGAACATGTAGGTTGTTTCGAATGCTCTCATGAGTAACTACCATAAGATATAATATATATATTTTTAATAAATTATGATCATATTTTGGAAAGGGTTTATGTACGCTTTATTTAATTACTGTATGTATTGTATGTTGAAAATGGGGGAAAAACTATTTTTAAAGAAAAAGAGGTTTTAATAAATTAAAATGAGAGGGCAGCACTTCTATGTACATGTTATATAGCATACTTTACAGTACTTACAACTGCTGAATGTCATTGCTTGCTGAACATCTTAGCCAAAGTAAGCTGTTTGATTGTCTTCATCCTTTTTCGGGCAGCCAAGTCATGCGTCCGCTTGACAATGAGAAGTTTCGTGTTGTCACACACGGGCTGACACTCCATCCACTTCAGCATAATTTCAAGGTTGGGAAACGCTTCACTAACTGATGGTCCCATGTCTGCTTCAACTTCGACATTAAGATCATTTTCTTCCTTGACACTTTCAAGTAAGTTCATCATCATTTAGAATTTGGTGTTGACAATCAACAGGGTGACCATTACTTTGGCTTCCCCTGGCAATGCAGCATAGAGAGAGATGGTGACTCTGGTGTGCCAAACGACAAAGCTGGGTACAGGAGTGGCACAATGTCGCCTTTTCAAACGAGTCCCAGTTCTATGTACAGTCTTCTGATGGCCATATATGTGTCTGGAGTGTCCGAGGAGACTGTGTGTTGCCTGCTTTCATTCGATATCGGCGTGATGTGATGGTTTGGGCAGCCATTGGGTATACGACATGCACATCTCTAGTTTGGATCGACGGTAATTTTAATGCAAATTGGTATATTTCTGACATGTTATGTCCAGTGGTTGTGCCCTATCTTCGAGGCCCCCAACTGCCGTGTTCCAACAACGTAATGCAAGACCACATGTTGCACATCGTATTCTGACCTTCTTTTGATACACAGGTTATTCGATTGCTGCCCTGGCCTGCAGTCTCTAGATTTATCATCCACTGAAAACATCTGATCATGGATTGCTGAGAGACTGGTCCACCCCCCCTCTCCAGCTAATATGGTTGATGAAGTGTGGCTTGGACTTGAAGCAGCAGGGAATGAGTTGCCCATTTGTGTCATCCAAGCCCAGTTCGACTCCATGGCTAATGAGGGTAAGGACCGTTTTAGCTGCCAGGGGTGGCAGCTCTTTGTAGTAATTTCGCACCCATGTAAACCTCCAAAATGCTTACAAATTTAATCATTTTGTCTTCATGCTATACTGTTAACATGGAATAAATATCCTTTTTGTATTTGCTTTTCTTCATGATGTTGCAATTTTAATGGCCAGGAGTGTAATTTTAGTGTAGTTAGTCTCCTTAAGAAAAACGAGAGTAAAATGGAGCAGGCATGTGCCACCATTTAATGTTATTGGATACTTGTAATCCATCATTATCAGTGAACTTAAAATTTATGTGTAGAAGATATCAGTAACACTGGTGGTCATCCATATCATCCTTTACTGGTTGATTTTTGTTGATCATGAAAGGCACTAGGGTATATGACTTTTATTTTGAAAGTCTTCTATGAAAATACATTTTTGGAGAGTATATTCTGTTGTGCAAATAAAGCTGTTTTTTAGTTATGGAATCTTCAATGGATAAAATATTAATTTATAGACCTAGTGCTAAACCCATAAAGGTTATTTCATTGGCCTTAATGCATATTGTAGCTTCCTGAAGAAATTTTCAGTTGGAACCAGTTTTTAAGATGGTGTGTTGACTAAAGACAGTTTTTCACATGGCCTAGTTTCTGTCATTCTCAATGGCATTTCTCTGTTGATCCTTGTCCACATGCAGGATCCACATGTAGTGTTCCTTAATGTAAAGAAGCTTATATGTATAATTTCTTTGGAAATAACTTTTGAAGTATAAAGAATGGACTAATGGGGTAAAGCAGTCTCTTATGTTTCCCAGATTTTAACTACTATGGATTTTTTCCCTTGAAATTAATTAAAAAAGAGAGGCCATAAATGGTAAAAGAAAATGGCAATCGTATTACTGAAACTTCCAAAGGCAGGATCTTATAATACTATGCCATCATCCTGAAAAATACTTTCGCCTATAATTTAAAATGCATTGCAGTTCCTCATGGCGATTTTGAATAGTATCTGCAGAAGATTACTGGAAATTTCAAGTTTTATCCTTTTTGATAAAAAATATCATAGGTATATAATTATTTTTTTCTTACTTTTTTTAAGCTGTTCAGTATGCTACATAATGCATAACCAGCACATCTTTAGAAAATGAATAGAGAATTTTGTAGAATGTTGTCTAGCCAAATATTCTGACTTATCTTGCTTATTCTGATTAAAAATCTGCCCGTTTGAAATTGTTGCCGGAAATGCTGTAGGTTTAATAAATTGAAAACTTTAAATTGAAAAGTTGCTTTGTTAATAGTAGATTCTCCCCATGTAGTCCAGTAACTGTAGTTGTGGATTAAATATGCATAAGGGCATAATAGAAATCCAATATCCAGATTTCTTACATAAAAATGTATAATATATTTTACCTTTGAAGAATAGTGCAAGAAGTTTATGTGCAAGAAATATCCTTACCTGTCTATTCCAAGTTTTTTTAAAATGAACTTATGTCAATAAAAGGTAAAATTTAGCACAGGTGAATACAGAACTCAGAGTAATGGTCTGTATTGGAAAGAGTTTTAGGACACTGGATCTATATCAAAAAGATGTAGACAAAGTCGGCCAAGATCCATGACGATAAATGAGGGTCATTATTTGGCACTTTCAGCATGGCAATACAGGACTGCAACAGCATTTAAGCTCTTATATGAGCTGTATGTTACCCCTGGAACCCAAGTTTCAGTCTGCAGCTGCCTAGGCTTCATGAGATAGGGCTGTGCCAGAAGAGTCACAGTATGCATTCCTCTCAGTGCAGCACACAAGAGAGCATGTTTAGCATGGTGCAGATAACATGTACCTTTGATCAGATTTCAGTGCAGCACCAGGCCTTTTACAGATTAGTTGAGATTCAGCCTGGACACTGATTTTCTGTGCACCTGTATAAAACCTGGAACACAGTATTATGCCTCCTTCATTGGGGAAAAGGATCATTACAATAGTGGAGGAGTTATTGTTTGGGCATGCATTATGTTGGAGGGCTACACACCCCTGCAAGTGTTTGACAGAGGCTCTCTGCCTGATATGAGGTACAGAAAGTAGACCTTAGAGCCTTATGTTTGACTTCTTAGGTGTGCAGTAGTTCTTGGTTCCTATTAATGGATGACAATGCTCGTTCACATAGGGCTCAGCTGGTTGATGATTACCTGGATAGTGAGGATATTCGCGGCTTGGATTGGCCAGCCAGATATTTTGAGCTTAACCCTGTAATGAGCTTAACCCTGTAAAGCATGTCTGGGATGCTCTTGGGAGGGCAATTTCATCTCACCATTCACCTCCGAGAACTGTCCCAGAAGGGAAAACTGCCTGCTGTAGGAGTGGGATTGACTGCCACTGGGATTTCTCAACTGCTTCCTGTCCAGTATGCCATCACACTGTGTGAGCTGTCTGGTTGTGAGAGAGACCATACTTCATATTTGATTAATTTTCAGTTTGATATCACAACGTAGATTTTAAGACCTCCCTGCACTATGAGCTTTACTGATAATCATGCATGTCCATTAGTTTAAAACTTTAAAATCGTGCGTGTTCATATTTTTACACATTATACTCTTTTGTGAGTACTGATGAATTTAAGCTATCATAGCATTAATTTGTATCAGGTATTATCTCCAAACTCATTCATAGTTCAATATTTTAAAACTCATAATTGTATCAAAAATAAAAATTTAGACACCCTTTTTTTAAAAATTTTTTTTATTTATATCATTTGAGTAGCTACTTTGATTTAACAGCATTATATACATTTTTATCTATTTGAGTTTGCTGGAGGTAGTTGCCATGGCGTATCTGGGGAGAGGAGCATTATTAAAAATAGTTCTGTTTCAACTATGTTGATTAAAATGTGAGTAAAAGAATGTAGAAATAGTAAGATGCTAAAAACATTGTAAGATTATGATCAGCATTAATTTTTGTTCCAGAGATATGTATTGCTTGCTGCAAAAGTGACAGTAGAATTGTTTCACAACATCCCTTGTTTGTTGGTGGACTTTGTGTACTTTGTACAAAGACGGTTTACAAAGTATGCAGTTTGCCTTTTGGACAAGCTCAAGTATGAAATATATTATTTGATGATTTTTTGTACTTAATGTTAGAAAATGAATATAAAATTGTTTTGTATTGTATACTCAAATATCAGTTTTAGCAAATTTGGATTTAATGATTTTCCACGTTGAAAAAATTTTGTTCTACTCAAAAGTTAAACACAGAATCTTGGTTAATGAATATTTTATCCCCATTTATGATAAAATAATTGCTGAATAAATCTTCTCAAATTTCAGAACTTTTCCATTTTTTAAATGTTTAAAAAAGTATCTTATAAAGAATTTTCTGTTTTTAAAGTCCCGGTGAGGGCATTGCTCCTTTTTCTAGTCTTCTGCTTCAAAATATCCTAATGACTATACAAGTTCCTTTTTCGTCATCTAGAGCCAACTCATCTGCAGATTATTTATGTCTTAAATGGGGAAGTTTTTTTTTCTTACTGAGCTGTACAGGCTAACTACAATGTTTGAAATGAAGCATAAAAATCTATTAAGCAGACAAAATTATCTGTAAACAAAATTTCAGATTATGACACATAAACTCAATATTCATGATTGAGATTTTTTATTATGAAAGGTGATTGCATGTAGAGATCCATGAAGAAACTATTAGCAAAGTCTAGAATATAATTTTAAAAGTTTAGGATATATTGGCAATAAGGCTCATCATACAAGGATTACCTGCGTAAGGGGGAGCAATGCTTTTGTGGCGTACATTTTTAGGAAATTGGCTCATACTTATGTTAATGAGGAAAGCCACAAAAACACGCATGCAGTCAATTGAAACCCAGGTCTAAATACCAGTATTCAGCTGTCTTAATCACTCAGCCACTAGTGTTGGGCCTATGTAATTTTAAAGGACTACTGCATTTTCATGTTTTTATATTTGTCAGTGGCCCACCAGCGGCCGAGCGGTAAAGTCACTGAACACTGTTAGTTAGGTCCGAGGTTCAAATCCCGCCAACTGGCTGGCTGCATGGGCGTTTTCGTGGTTTTTCCCATGTGTAAGGTGTATATGAGCCAGTTCCCTTAGAAAGTCCTCCACGAAGGCATCCCTCATATTAGGCAGATAGCCCTCGAGGTTTTGCCATAATCACACACACACACACACTTATATTTGTCAGTGTTGATTTATTGACTTTTGTAAGAAAATTTGATGATGATATAGTCATGGGGAAATTCTGTCACAGATTTTATTTTTCTTTATGAAGTATGAAATAGAGTGTTTACTACTTTTCAGAAAATGATAAAGGAATCTGAAGAGTGAAATATATAAAACAAATAGACCTAGTATCTGATTTCTTTTCTAGCAATAATTTGTTGTATATAATGCATTTTAAAGAATTTATATGATATGCCTTATATATTCGGTTTACCGAAAAGTTCTGTCCGTTTTTGGAATAAAACAAAATACAAATTTTTTCTTACCATCAGTAAACTTTATTAAAATAATATAATTGCCATTATTATTAGTGACTTCTTGCCAGCGGGAGGGCAATTTGTATATCCCATTTTTGAAAAATGATGTAACTTTTGATGCGAAAAATTGAGCTGGTGCTTGTTTGATATCTACTTCATTTTATGAATTTTTTGCCCTTCAAAAAATTTTGTAAGGACAAAAGCAAGTGATAGTCAAAGGGTGTTAAGTCTGGGGAATATGGTGTATGTGACAGAATTTCCCAGCCTAGTTCTGCAATTTTTTCACAAGTCCCCAAAGCAGCATATGGCCTGGCATGATCATGATGCAGTACGATATCCTTTCGTTTGAAAATCGCCGGCCTCTTTTCTTAAACTGTTGTCTTTAAATTGTCTAATTGCTGACAGTACTTCTCTGAATTGAGCTTTTTGTTTGCTTTTAAAAGCTCGTAATGTACTGGTCCTCGAATGCCTCACCATATACACAACATTCTCCTTATTCAGGGTCAAATTTAGTTTAGAGGTATGGAGGGCTAAGTTTTCTGTATTCACAATATGCCCTTTTCCTTGCAGTGTTTCCGTGGATCATCCACTTTTCATTTTCAGTTATCATCTGGTTCAAGAAGGGCTTCATTTTGTTTGGAGCAAGCAGAGGTGTGCTTATGACAACTCACTCATCCAAATTCTTCTGACTTAATTCATGTGGCACCCATCTTTGATATTTCCACACCAATCCTATCTTCCGAATATAGTTCGAAATGGTTTGAGCTGAATTAAGCCTCTTTGCGATTTTCGATGTTGTCAGAAAAGGATCATGCTCCAACATGGTCGTAACAACACTGTCGCCGATCAAAGATGATCGCCCAGAACATGGCTTATCAGAAAGTTCGAAATCACCTGTTTCAAATTTTTTGAACCATCTTCTGCATGCCTTATCAAAAACTGTACCTTCACCAAACACTTTCAATAAATTTCTACATGCTTTTGTAGCATTTCTTTGATGAAATTTGTATAAAATACAGTGGCGTAAATGAACTTTATCAGTGGCCATGGGTACACTATCGCTTCACATTTAAGACTAACATGAATCGACTTTGTTTTAGTTAACTTGCTACTTCAGTACGTATACATAAGTGATAAAAATAGAGACCCAAACATATGGCAAATAAACATGTGCTTAGATGTCGAAAACTGTTGTCATAAAACGGACATAACTTTCCAGTGGACCGAATATTAAATGTCTTTCACTTTACCGAAATCTGTATACTAAAAAATATAACTTAATGCAATTTTTTAATAATTACATAATTTTAATTAACATGATTCTTGTGTTTAATTGCATGTTTTATATTCAGTTTAGTGTGTCTCAATTAAACGACTTTATCAGCAGTCCCCGGCAATTTGTGAAACCTGGATATATTTTGAACTTATTATTTAAGGCTGTATTTTGAACTTTTCTGTTTATGATAAATTTTAATATGCTTTCATCTGATAAGCATTATAATCTGAATACAGCTTATCTATAATAAATACAAATTTAAGCATTTTGTGTATTTTTGGAAATGTAAATAATATAAATAGTATTTATATAAATATAATATAAATAGTATTAAAACATTATTTTCAGAAGTATATTTTTAGTCAGTTTGTAATGTTTTACTGCAAGATGTTTAAAAAAGTTTCTCCATTGTAAGAAGTAAATGAAGTAAAATAGTCTTTCTGAATACAACTGTTTTAGCCATGTGACAGCTTTTGGTAAAATTGTACATAACTTAAATTTTTGTGCAGGCTGTATAGAGGAGGAAAAAAAAAGAAGAGCAATGAGGAAATTGCCTTTTTATATCTCAATTAATCATAAAAATAGTTTTGTACGATCAAAAATTTTCTAGGTATTATTAAAATTTTTGGCAACTGCATTGAAATTTTGTCAAAGGAGAGTTGCGAGTGCTAATTTTCAAATGAAAATTTCTAAAAGATGCCATTAACATGAGAAAAGAGGCAAAAAGCGTAGGTTTCAACTTTCTTTTTGTAAAAGAGGTTAATTTAACAGTTTCTGTATTGCTTCTGGAATGATTTGCTCTTTTTTTTTATCAGATAAAAGTGGTTTTAAGTTAATTTTGGAATTTTTCAGAATTTATAGTAATTTTTACAGAATTTGTTTGTTACCAAATGTTTTAAAAATATTTTTAGTAAGATTAGAAATGACTTATGATTGAGCTGTGTTTATGTAGCAAGTGTATGTAACAATTTAAATTCTTATTTTTACTAAAAGCTGTAATAGAATTAAACTTGTGAATCATATTTTGACCAATGATTTTTTTGCATTTGAAAGAGAGTTTCTTTAGAATACTGTATTGTGAAATTTGTAAAAAAAATCAAAACCATTAAGTACAAGGTGTCTGAAATGGAACTATCACAGTATCAGATTAGAACTATCATTCAATTCCAGTTTTGTTGCAAAACATGAGCTGCAGAATGTCATTAAATCGTGTGTACAACTTTAGATACTACTGTTGTATCATGTAACACTATGAAGGTTTGGTACCAAAAGTTCAAAAACAAGGACTATGTCATTCAAGGAGAGCATTCTGGCCGGCCTATTGATATTAATGAGGCTCGTCAGAGAGAAGAAGATAAGTATGCAACCACTCAGACATTAGTGCCATGTCCATTAGTCACATTATGTATCACATAAATTTGACATACACATTCAATCACTGGAAGCTGCATGAGCTGACTCAAGCAGATAAGGAAAGACATGTTTGAGTCTGCACTAATCTGCTCAAATATCAATGCAAAGAAAAAATTCTGGATTGGATCATCACTTATGATGAAAAGTGGATTTACTTCAACAACACAGGCCAGAAAGTGGGTTGGTCTGCACTTTGTGAGCCTGTCGTTAGCATTGCAAAGTGCAACTGACTAACAAAAACAGCATGCTTTGTATCTGGTGGTATTGTCATGGCATTATCCACAAAGAGTATCTGGAAAAATGTAAAACCCTTGACAGTAAGATGTAGGATGAGATGCTAGTCTGTGTTGATGTTGCTATTAAGTAAAACTGTCGAACTGAGTTCTGTCACAAAAAGGTAATGTTCCATCAAGCTAATGCAAGACGACATGTATTTGCATTCACCGGCTGGACTCTGTACAGACTCAAATGGGATCTTTTGCTGCACCAACTGTACAGCTCTGACATTGCTCCTTCAGATTTCTACCTTTTTTCACATTTGAAGCTACATCTTGCTGGTGCTATTTTAGTAATGGTTTTTGTTTGCATTCCACATATTTTTATAATCAGATCGGTTGTGTGAGTTTCTTGTGTAAGGAAGAAAAGATGCTAATGCTTTATGACACAATCCTTTTGACTTTATGACAATTCCCCGCAGCACTCCCTCCCAAGTACCAAAGGTACGAAGAGTTGGAGATACTGAGGTTTGAATCGAACCTTCTATCTGGAGCGGATGACTGTTGTTGTTGTAACATTGCTCAAGTTTTCAGAAGGCTTAGATTCAGAAGATGTAGGATTAGGGGCTGCATTTGAAACTGGAGGAACAGTTCCAGGTGGACATGGGTAGCCATCACCCAAGAGGAA